AACGGTCGTTTACACGAAGTTCAGGTTAAGCTTCTTTTGCCGAGAAAAACGCTAACCGAAAATAAAAATTAAAAATACACATTATACTCAAATATTGGCAAATAAAGCGCCAGCAACATTTTTGTATCCAGGTGAAGATCCACTTCAATGACATGGGGGTTAATAATTTTAGTTTGATTCCTCTATGAAGAAGCCTACTGATTGATTGATTTTTGGAGCAGTTTCGCGAAATAATTGCATAAATTTCGATGTAAGTGTGGCTGCCCGAACACAAGAGAGGCAAGAAAACGCACGTAATTGAGCAGCTGGTTTGCGGTCTCCTTGAGAGTTGTGCGATTGAGCAGTAGCACGTAGGACCGGCCAGTCGCTTTTCTTTTGAAGATGTTTTTAAGCCGTTCCTTGTTATTTTCCCAAACAGAGTCCAGTTTGAATGTTGTGTAGTACAGGGCCTTCATTTGGCGAGTTAGAAAATCAAGGTCTGAAAGTGAAAATAAAGTGGAAAATGAGGTAGAAATTTGTAGGAAAAACACTTTGAAGGCAGGTATGTGTTCACAGAGCCAAGGAACAGCCACCCGCGGCACTGGAATATGCGGATCCGATAATATGCAAGGTCCTAGCGAGGGAATTGCAAAGTAGGTTTCTTTAATCTGTTGTTTGATATCCTTAAAACAAAGTTCAAATGTTATTTATCAGGCTCAAAATGCTCGGTTTCACTGGCTATGCTGGCAAAATAAGCGTTTGAACAAGGCGAAGATCACAAGTTGAGCAGAATTTATTGACGTCGTAAATTTCGTGACCTCTAATTCATCTGCAAACGGTCATTGACTGTTAATATAGTAAATTAACTGTCCAATTAGAAGGGTGAAGCTTAATAGGTAAATAGGATGGGAAACCTAAATCAAAAATGTGGGTGCATAGTGAGCGGTAGAGGAGGGGGCAGGTAATTATCCCAGCAAAGCAGTTCAGGTTACAGCGAAAGCCTGTGAGGTGAAATTAAGGGGCAGGGGGGGGGCAAAGC